ACTTGCATTGGTACACTTGCAATGGTACACTTGCAATGGTACACTTGCAATGGTACACTTGCATTGGTACACTTGCAATGGTACACTTGCAATGGTACACAATGCAAAGAAATGTTTGTCATAGCTAACACCTCAGTTTGTCAACTTATTTCTCTGCGCAGTAGCCTTGTTCGTCAAGGTTTGTATTTCGAAATTATGGAGATAAGAGAAGGTTATAACAACAATTAAGTAGCCTCTTCATCTGTAGTGGCCTTCTCGGCCTTGGAGGGGTGAATTATAATAAAAAAAAAAAAAAAAAAAAAAAAATCTGTTACCAATGATGGATTGCTATTGTGAAAACAAAACAAGTTGATTCCTGGAACTGACTTTTGACCACCATTTTTGGCTTTAATAAAGTGATTTACTGTACATCTTTCTGAGCTTTGATAAGTTTTAGACTAAGCAGTTAAATATGCATTTAATTGCTCAGTCTAAATATATTTAAGTTCAGTCTGAAACGTATCAAAGCTAATTACATTTACAAATATATTAAAGCAGTACCGACCTCACAAAAGTAAGTGTGTGCATTGCAGGCCCGAATTTAGGCATGAGCAGACTGAGGATGGATCAGCCTGCTCATGCCTAAATTCGGGCCTGGAATCACCAAAAAACTAGGGGCTCCCATCAGCCAAAAAAAAAAATTAATTTGTTTTGTATTGATGACACGATTAAAGGAGACTCTTATCCAAAAAGATTTTATTGTGAAAGATAAATTTTGTCAAATTATTTTAAAAAAAATTTGTTTATAACTACTCTAATGATAATTCTGAAATAAATTTAATTACAATTTTAAATTGAAAAAAAAACTCACATTTATTTACTAAAGTTTAAAGACGATTTTAAATAGAGTTTTCTCAAAAACAACTTAATCAGTTGTAATGATTTTTTTTTATAATGATGCTTACATAGTTTTTTTTTTTATGAGTGGGTGTTGCTTTGTTTACTTCAAGTAAAGTATTGAAAGAGTCTAAAAATCAGAAAAAAAAAAAAAAAAAATTTTACTTAGAAAATCCATTGTTTTTATATTGCATTGATTTCAAAAGCATGTAAAGTTCAAAAATCAACTGTTGGAAATGTTAACAATATCAAAGCAACCAAGTAACTAAAAATTTGCTTAAACTAATTACAAAAAAAAATATATGCATTTATTGTAAAAAAGATCAATAGATGATTTCAGATAATCAATACTATTATCCGTAGAAATGTTTAAAAACTTCTGACAAATTAAAGTTAAAAAATTTGCTCTTATGCATCTTTTATGGCAGACTATTTGCATTGTTGTTTTAAAAGCTCTCCTTTCATAATAAATCAATCTTCGACATCAGGTCTATATGTGACTAAATGCTTGAAAAAATGACTTCTTTCTCTAATTAAGAAGCAAAATCAATGGTTACTTTAGAAAAAACTTAAAAAATTGCATGTTGTAAAGTTACGACCTAATTTATTTTTGTTGAAATAAAAACTAATTGTGTAACTGATTAAGTGGTTTTTTGGTTTTACTCAATTTAAAATCAACCAAATTTAAACCGATCATGGTGATAACTATCTGAACAATTGTTTTGGCAAAGTTTTATATTAAAACTTTTTCAAGTGATTTAAAAAAAAAGGTTTTTAAGCAAAGGTTTTGTGTATATTGTTATTTAATAGCAAGTAATCACTAATAATCCCCTTCAGTTAAATACACAATATTTATCAACTGTGCAGCTTGACAACTACTGTATACTGTTTACCTAAAACTTTGAGCAGTTCATCATAAAAACAATTTTTGCTGATTTACTTAAAACTTATAAAATTATAAACAGAAGTGTTGCTGTTTTATACAGATTAGTAAAATTGCGTCATTATTTAAATCACAACCTAGTTTAGGTAGTTACAAATATTTTCTAGGGATCACATGCATTTTATAAGGTAAGATGCATGTGACCCCTAAAACACCTTAAAAGATGACTAAAAAACCTTAAAAGGTGTTTTAGACATCTAAAAAACGTATTAACACATATTAATAATTGTTTTAGACATCTTAAACATGTTTTGTGACCACTAGAAGGGGCCCCACTAATGTAAATCTAGCCCTGCTCTTTTGTCCCATTTTTGGGTTATCAGATTATATATATAAAAGCCATGTGCAGGTTCTAGCCACATATGGTTAAAGTGCAGAAGTGGTGCAGTGGTTAGAGTGCATGCTTTATAAGCAGGAGATACAGGTTCAAAACGAGCTCTGGACATATTTTCGTGTCACGGTAACAAGGGAGGCATGAACTTCCTGGTTAAATGCACTTCTGCGGTGCTCCGTGACAAGACCGTTAGGTCTTCTTGGGGCACCTAAATAACAAAAAACAAAAAAATAAAAAAACAAAAAAAATGGTTAGGGTGGCCATATTTTTTTAAAATATGGTCGCCCTAACCATACGTGGCTAGAACCTAAGTGGTATAAATACCATAACTGCACATGGCTTTTATATATATACACATATGGGCCTTTTACTGCTATAGGGGTAGAAATATAAAATGAACTGAGAAAGACGAGCAACCTTTTATTTGTTCCCTTTAATTAAAAAAAAAAACTAAAAAAAATTTGAATTGCATCAATAAATATTTTTATGTTGCACTTAATATTCATTCAATTCTTGATCTTCTCACTCTTTGTGAACTCCTGGGCCAGAACCATGCGATGCTGTGCTACATCATTGTTCACAGCATCCTTTTGACTCATAACCAGCATGATAGAAAGAACTATATTTCCAATATGTTGCTTCCCAATTAAAATACTTATTTCTATATGCAGTAAAAAAGTCAGTATTATTAGTTGCAAAAAGTACTACTGTCTTGTCTTTTAGGCTGTTTCTTAGAAAGTTTTTTGAATCTATCAACTGTATTATTACAAGTCATTGCACGGATAACTCAGGTAAAGCAGATCTTGGTGGAAATTGAGGATATAGGTGGCCCATGGCTTCCTTTGAACAACAGCTTCTGAAGTCTGATAGTTTATTGTAACCAAAGTGAGCCAGAACTCTTGAATTTCTGAAAAAAGGTGATATTAGGGATATATGTGAATAGAGGGGTCTGTGGCACAGGAACTGTAGAAAACTTCTGCCAGAAGAAATTCAAAATTATGATAACAATAGATTAGGTTTAATCTAGGCGGCAGACCACGATCGGACCCTCTATTAGTGAAAGTTTTGTTGGAAAAAATTATTGCAATCCTGTTTTGAAGATTTCATTCATTGATGTATGGAACCATTTAGTCAAAAGAATAAATAGTTATGTTGGCTTAGGCAAAAGGAACAAGTACAGATATTGCTCCTTGGTTACTTCAGTCAAAAGCTGCTTTTAAACTTCTAAAGTTCAAATTCTAAAGTGATGACTACTCTTATTTAACCTAAAATTTCTTGGAAGAAGAGCTGCACGGACATTCAACCAGCGTACTAGATGAAGAGGACAACCATTCATTCTGAACTGTTGCAATGTTGCTTAAACATAGACAATATTGTCCTTTTCTTGTTTGAATCTCTTTTCCTAAAATATTTTTAGTTTCTTTTTCCTTTCTGCTTTGTCAACTCAAACTTTATCAACCCCACAAATATAAAAATAATACCAATCTTCACAATATTTTCACAAAATAAAAATCTGGAAAATAAAACCAGTAAATAAAAGATTAGATCTCAGGCTATGACATAATAATAATCCAATGAACTAAAATCATGATAGATATAATTACAACCTAATCAATGAATCAATACTAGAAAACAATTATAATTATAATTGCTTTGTAATGTTGTTATATGCTTTTCTATAAATACTATAGTCGACACTGCTCTAAAGAGCTAGCATCTATTGTGCCATCTGCTAAAACTCTTTTTCGTGTTACTCGTCATTCTATTAGGTATCATCCTTTTACTGTGACAGTTTCTAAGTGCTCTAAAAATACTTATTCAACCAATTTTTTTGCTCGAATATCAGATCTTTGGAATACATTTCCTCCACCTTGTTTTCCTGATTTATATATTTTGCAATATTTTAAGTCGTCTGCCAATCATTATCTTGCTCTATAAACTTCATCTTTTCTCTTCCAACTCTAATAGTGGTTGCTTGCAGCCTTGTTGGAAGTAAAGATTTAAAAAAAAAAAATGTAATCAATATAATATAAACAAAATGTAGTAATCACTATTACCCTTAATATTAACAGAGATAAATAACACAATTGTACAAGATTGAAATGAACATAACAGGAAAAAAAAAGAACTACATATATTTTGCCATGTATGCTGAAGACACTAACTACGCAGTAGGTAATTTTATTTCCATGTCTCAGTGAAACATCAAGATGTGTAAAAAGATAACTGATAACAAGATGTGTACTACACTGTCTAAATATTGACTTGAATACTTTTCTAGTTAATTGGAACAGAATGCAAGGTTGCTTTTAAAAATCCTGAATTTTTTTTTAGAAACACCCAAATATATATATATATATATTATATATATATATATATATATATATATATATATATATATATATATTTGTTTAAAATTTAATGTCATCACACAAAAAATGAGCAATAATTTTTTTTTTTTAATTGCAACATCTTTTTTTGTTATATTAATTAAAATAATAACAGTGAAAATGATGGTTGGAATAAATACTAGATAAATTAATTTTAAAAAAACCTGACAAAACAAATGTTACTTAAATTCTAGATAAAATAAATAAAATAAAACAAAAAAAAATTAATATTTAAATTGTTTAATTATTTTTTTAAGTTTTTTTTTAAAAAAAAACTTAAAAAAATAATTAAGCAATTTCTTTGGAAATTTTTTTTCTATGCGCACACCAAAGTTTTTGTGGGCTTGTGCGCACGCGCAAAAAGGCTTGAGCGTAAAAGCGCTGGCTAAATGGAGAAGACAGATTTACTTGGGCTATGTAAGCAAAAATTTAGAGGTAACATAAAAAAAACACTAACCCTTGTGCACTTCAGAATAATTTTTAGCATCAAAAACTCCTTCAACAACTCTTGAGCCTACATTCCATCTTTTCACCTCTGTACCAGGATACACAACCATCCATATATAACTATGTAAGTTAGATGATTGATTTGTTTCTAAAAAAGTAACAATTTTGTCTGAAAAACCTGATAGATTTTTGTCTTGAACTGATAAAGTTTCAATTTTTTTGTATGAACTTGCACTTAGTATTGAAATACATCCTTTTTCTTGGCCACACCACAACTCGTAATTGTCAGGATTTTTTTCAGTATCAGAAATTAAAAATTCATTTGATACTATTTTTTTTATGGATGAATTTGATTCAACAGCACATATACAATGTATGAGACTTCCTATGTTAATGCAATTTAGAGGCTTTAAAAAAACTATTTTTTTTATTGGGTGCACATGATAATTAGTTGGTTCCGAAGAACTACATCTACTTTGTAAACGAACATCATCACTATATATAAGAATATTGCCATCAGATTGTGTGCAAACAACAAACTTTTTTAAAGCACAGTAATATATGCAAACTATATAAGCATGGTTTATAGATGCGCCATATGCAATTAGACGGTATTTCGAAGTACAGTAGACTTTAAAAGTACTTTTATCTGTTCCTAACCACATTGTATTTCCAACTAAACATGCTGTGATAATTTTTTCTTTTACTAAAAAGTTCTAAAAATATAATTATAAAATATGACCTTATAATAAGAAACCATTAGAAGACATCGTTAGCGTCATTAGCAACCATTAGAAGACATCGTTAGTGTATTCTATTATTGCACTATACATCATTAACAGTATTTTGTTAAATTTGTATTTGTTAATATTGAATATTTAAAAAATTTTGTTAATATTGTATTTGTTTATATTATATATAATTGTTAATATTGTATTTGTTAAAGTCAAAAATTAAGCAATTTTTTGAAGATTCAAATAAAAGAATTATAAAAACACTAAAGAAAAAAAAAACGAAAATGCATCATACAAGCTCATGTACATATTTAAAATCTTCATATGAAAATATTGTCACATAAGTACGCTCTTGCAACTGATTCTTTTGACTGGTAATTAACCAAACATGTGAACCAATTGAATCATTTGCGGACACATTACTTTGTTTACACAAATTTGATGAACAAGTTTTTACACACTGCAAGTAGAAGTTTTCATCCAGTTCTGTTAAATAAAAAAATGTTTTTACAATGAAAATTGATAATACAAATTATAATAATTCTTAGTTTTAAAAGTAGTGTATGTTTATGTATTTTATTTTCAAAAAGGTGCTTGTTAAATGTATTATTTGTGTAAAACTCTGTGTACTTTGTAAGTGCTTATACAAAAATATGAATAAGCACATAAGCAGCTATGATTATTTAGAACACAGCCAACTTACAATGAAACATCATTGATGACACCATACTCATACATAGCCATAAATTGGAGCTTAGTACATTAACGTAGAGTTTGAGTTAAGACTGGTACTACCTAGATATAATGGACTTACAGTCCTTTTTCATAAAAAGAAATCAAACTGACACAAATTTTGACTGGATATAAAAGTTGGCATCTCAAAACTTAAAGTGTGCAAAATATATTAAAGCAGTGTAGACCTAAATCCACAATAGTAAGACTGTATGTATACAACCCTCGGAGTTAGAAAAAATGAGGTCGGCATCAGGTCAGCAAAAACTATTTGATATAAAGGTCTAACCATAAAACGTAGAAACCAGGTCGGCAATCAGAAAGTATGCCTAAACATCAAAAAATTCAAACTATACAAAAAATATTTCACAGGAAGTTGGGAATTGTTATAATTAATTATGAAACAAACAGTTATTTTGCAACCAGGAAGTTGAATCATTACATTAAAAAATTATTCATGAAAAGAATTCTATGGAATTAGGATAATTTTAGTTTGGTCATTTGTTTTTAAAAGGTATTTATTTTTATGTGTGGATTTAGAAGTTAATTCAGATTTTTTGTTTAGTAAATTTTCTTGATCCAAATAGTATGCATTTTTTGGAAATGTTATTATAGGCAGGTGCAGTTTTTAGAGTAGACCAGTTTAATTTAAAATTAATATTTTTTCATTTTAGTTGTTAAATATATTTTGACAGCATAGTCTCTTATGAGTATTTTTTATGTTTAAAAGATTGTTTGTGGTTGGCATAACATTTTATCCATTTGCCCTAGGTTAGGCTAATATATTTTTTATCAGGGTTGCTTAGAGAGAAAATAATGCATTTGTAAATAATATTTTTTGATAAGCATTTGCCACTCATAGAGCAGTCAATTTTTCGCTTGCAACTACAATTTAAAAAAAAAAAAAAAATCATTTTTGTTAATGTAAAATTATGGTCAAAAATATTATGGTACAATTCTTTTTATTTTTAAAATTCTTTTTAATTATGGTACAATTCTTTCAAAACATTTTGTAGCTTACTTTATTAGTGTTTTCGTTTAAATATAATATGTGCAACTTATTAGAAGGAGGGAAATGTTAATACTAATTTACTCTAATAATTTTAGAAATGCTTTTTCAATATTTGTAGAACATTTTTTCCTGTATGGAGGGTTGAACTAAATTATAATTCCATTTCTATTTTTAATTCTATTTAACATTATAATTCTATTATTTATATGCGGTAGTGGTGTAGTAGTCGAGCATTTGCTTCATAAGCAAGAGGTTCCGAGTTCAATCCCCACAACGTTCCTGGTAGTACCGTGCTCAATTTGTTTCTCTGCACAGCCACTTTGTTTGTCAAGGTTTGTATTTCAGAGTTATAGAGTTAAGAGAGGGTTATAACCACAATTAAGTAGCCTCCTCATCTGTAGTGGCCTTCTTGGCCTTGAGGAAGTTAACTAACAACAACAACAAAAAATAAAAATAAATCGCTTTTTAGCAATTTTTGTATCAAATTTTAGCTCAAAATTTTTTAAATCCGCTTTTTTTTAAAGCATCTTTATACACACGTTTTGAGTTAAAAATATTTTCATTAGAAAAGTTTTGATTTAGTCTATTGTTAATTGAATTAGGAATTAGGAATTAGAAATAGGAATTTGTTTTAAGTTTGAGGGGACGATTTGAATTTATATTAATATACAATAATTCATTGTAAGGTTTTTTATAAGGCATATAAGAATTATCTGAGAGTTTTAATGTTACCTCAAGAAAATTCATAACTTTTAAGTTAATATTAATTAATAATAGCTAGTAATAATGGTGTATTGTCTGCTCCTATTCTAAATAATGGTACTCTTTTATTTTTATCTGAATCATCTAACACAGACAAACAAATGTTGCACAATTTAGATGAAAAAATTGACTCATTTGTATATTTTGAATCATTAAAATTAGACGTGTTTGATTTTTTTGTTAATTTATTCAGAAAAATTTAATGGTACAAAATATCTTATTTAATTCTAAATCAGAATTTGTTTTGTAAGATACTAATAATTTTCTGAAGGTAAAATACTTTTTTTTTCTGAGAAAATTATTTTATTGAATATTTAGGAGCAAATTTTATATTTTAGCAATCATGGCTCCACCAAAACAGTATTGTTGAGTATCAACAAAAATTAATTTTGAGTTTAGTTAAACAAAAAAAAAACATAGAGAGCAATTGAAAACGAGACTGAACTTCCACATTACACCATTTCAAACATTGTAAAAAAGTTTGAAAGTCACCAAATTGTAAAGATTTTAAAAGGACGTGGGCACAAATCTAAGACTACTGTCAAAGTAGATCACTTGATTGTATGATTATTCAAGAAAAGTATATTCGAGTCATCCAGAAAAGTTGCAGAATATATTAAAATTAACATTAGAACCAAAATAACTGATAAAACAATCCGAAATTGTTTACATGAAAATGAGTTTAAAAGCTTTTTTACATCTGATTATGTCACTTTTCAGTGACATAGTCAGATGTAAAAACAATAATTCTTTTTGCAAGATTGTATGGAATGTTCTTTTTAATGTGATCAAGGTGATGACTATTGTAATTTAGGTAGTCACGAATGTTTGTTTCTTAATAGAATATGTTGGTTGTGATAAATTTGTTGTTTTTAAAAATAATAAATATATCTAGAAATATAATTATATTATAGATATTTTTCTTTTTGAATAAGTTCTACTACTATATCACTTACATTTTTTATATTTTTGTATCTGAAAAATAACAACAATAAAACTCTATTTATACAAAATTTTCATTCAATAACAAAAAACAATTAGTAAATACTATTGTTCAAATAGTCGCCATATAATTGTTATTTAGTTTGTTATAGCCATATTAGCGCTATTTACTGGTTATATATTGTGGTATTGGGAAATTGTTTTTCTTTTATACTAATTCAATTTTCTTCCAATCATTCTCCCCCGCTTTGATAGACTCCAATCTATCAAACATTTTTAATTGTCAAACTCAAGAGGACGCAATCTTGTAATTGGTCGTATAAATTCCTTTTCACCAATTTTAACTTTCACAACTCTTACACATCCATCTTTACCTTCAAAGACTTCCGTAATTCTAGTGCGTAAAAAATTGAGTTAATGGAATATCATCTTTAATATCAGCACTCTGATACATTAATGGGCAAGAATTCAATAAACTCTCAGCACCTGTAAATGCCGTACAGAGTTCTTATTCTGTAATATCGGCTTTTTCGAGTATCCTAGTCACTGCACATTTGACAGCCTTGACCATTATTACAAATACACTGCCAAGATTTGGTCCTAGTGGAGCATTAAAGTGCTACTTGATTCCTTTATTAGCTGTGGAGTTAGTAATAATATCTTTATCTAAGTCATTGACAATTTCTTTTAGTGTTCGACATCCTCCAACAAAATTTGTTCCATTGTCCGTTAAAACCTCTAATGGTAATTCTCTTGTTAGTAAATCAACTACATTAGTTTTTGTTCCATTATTTTAGTTCAGTTATTGATTGAATGAATTCAACGCGGTTGGCAACAAATGATTTATACTTTTGACTTTGATTTTTTAACCACCATAAAACATTAAGACTATCACACCATATAGATACATCGTTAGTTTCCAACTTCAATGCTTTGACAATCTTCTTCCAACTTTTAAATACATTTCTGCTATACCATAAGCTAAAGCCACTGGGTATTTTAGAAATCTCAGCAAAACAGTCACAAGGTCTTGTTGAAGTTTTGAACCTTGATAAATAACATCATTAATTGATTTACCATTATATTTTACAGATCCATCAAACACAATTCTGACTTTTGTAGTTGATTTATCAGGACGAAGAATTGGAAAATGTGGTAAGTACCAGCTATCTCCAAAATTTCTTTTATTGATTTTCTCCAAGTATCCCTTTCTCTTGATACTATTTAATAATGTTATTATACTCTTCTCCAAGACTTTTGTTTTTTATTAGACATTTTTCTGTGTTTTGTAGTCCGTTTAACGCCATTGTATAATTATTGTCCAGCTGTCTATTATATTTCCATGTTAATTTTAGTTCACATCTTCCGTTCTCTGCTTTTAGCAAATTAGTCCTCTTCAATTTCCTATAACTTTTTAATGAAGTTGTTTGCATCTTCTATTTCCTTTTTGTTACTTAATTTTTGAATATTTGCTTATTTTCTTTAATAATAAAAATACTTTTGAAATTATCAGTTTCTTTTAATTTTTTGAATGAATTACTGATTACTAATTTTTGAGTATTTATGCTTTCCATTTTGATTAAGACTATATTTAGTAATTCTTCTGGTGTTTATGTAGTTGTTGATAATCCCATTAGTCTTTTTTATCTTTTTAATGAAAGGTTGACACTTGCTTTTAGTGTTTTTTTAGATGCTTTGATCATTATTATCTGATTGCATTTTTGATTTTCACGTTGATTCATAAAAACTGCAAACAATGTTGTTGTTAATTTTTGTTGTTGTTGTTGAATTTATAGGTAATTTTAGGCATCATTAAAACTTATGTTTCTTTTTGGTTTTGGCATGATTTATTTTGTTGCTTGTGCAAATAAAAATTTTGTTGATTTGTCTGCATGAAATCATTATTTTTTTTATCTTTAACTTATTTCATTTAGGAGTTCTAACTCTGTTGGTATTTATGATTTCATTTATAATATTTTCAGCAGAGAGACAAAAAAAAATAGCTCAAGGACCATCATTGAGAAAATTGTTAAATGAATCACAATCAACATTGAGCCAGCTATTAGGATTGCAATGACAAAGTAGAAGTCCTACATAGAAGAAGTACAAGATAAAATAGGGATAAGTAATAGTAATAAATAAGGAATGACAATAAGTAATTTAAGTTATCTAGAAAATAAGTCATAAATAATTTGAGTAAAAAATTGAGAAACACAAAAGTTTTGAGCTTTAAAACCTGATCATCAAAGCCAGTGGTACTAGACAACAACAGATAACAACAATATTGTTTGAGGGATAAAGAGTTAGATTCAAAGATTTTGTAACAAATAGATAAATTCATATATAGGTATATGCCAAGTCAAGCACATAAAAATTGGAGTGTTTTTATTTAACTTAAATTTTAAAAGACTAAATTAAATTCAGCACTTAGATCTTCGGATCTAAGTGCTGAATTTAATTTAGTCTTTCAAAACGCATAAAGGTCTAGTGAATTAAACAAAAGTTAAGATTCAATGAATAAAAAATTACTTCGAAGACCACAAAGATTGTGTATAAAAGGAAGACGAAAAAGATTGTGTATAAAAGGTAGACCAAAAAGATTGTGTATAAAAGAAAGACCAAAAAGGTTGTGTATTAAAGAAAGACCGCAACAGTTGTGCATAAGAGATAGGTTAAAATAATTTAGTAGTCATGGTTTTTTCAGCCATATTTTTAGGTACATGTTTTTGTTTTCATGTTCATGTTTTTAAAAATTAGAAAAATTGACTAAATATTTAATAATTTATACTTTTACTGTTGATGGAATCAGTGTCTCTGAGAGCTACCACAGAGCTCAGGAAACCTTACTACCAGTTGGTCTCAGAACCATTAAACTGAGTTATAGAACTGTATTCTCATTAGAAAATAAAAAAAAGTTGCATAGACACAACTAAGGAAAGAAAAACGCATGAGCAGAGTCAAGACAATCTAGTGTTCATCATTCTAGGCAGGAATATAGAAACACAAACTTACATTTATAACAGTCTATCAGGTGAATAAGGGTTGTGAAGCTGGTAAGCAGAGATTTTCTGTTAACTTCTTTCTGCAGTAAGATAATTCAGATGCAGTAAAGATAATTCAGTAAAGAATATGATAATGCAGTAAAGAAAATGAGTAATATAATAGAAATGAGTAATATAATAAAAAAAGATAATGCAGTAAAGAAAAAAATCTTTACAGAGAAATTATCTCTAGCCATTACTCAACCAAGAGCCGTACAAAAAGAGGTGGTTAAGTCAGAGTTAATTTTTAAAAGTCTTTGCTTAAAAAAGCAAATCTTACAAAGCACAAAAATATGAAACAAATTATTTCTTTGTTAGCAATAAAATGTACAACTAGCAGTTGCTGTAGTTCCTCAAAATGTGACAATGATAAAGATGAAGACCAAATCTCATATTTTTCTAAGGCTGGTAGTTCAATATAAATATGAAGAAGACAGTCCTCTCTCCAAATGTTGTATCATCTCTTTTTTGTATCAATATCTCAGATCGCTGTGCACTCTGTGTATTTTAGCAGTAACTTTCATACCCTTTCATACCAAAAATACCCTTACCACTTAAAGGAATAGTAATTTAGGTTCTTAAACATCCTATTGAGGAGCTACAGTACAATGCATTTGAGGAGTTACAGTTTAATGCATTGTGCAAACCAAGAGGTTTGAGAAAACTGCTGTCAATAAGTTTCAGTCATTTCTTCTGATCCACTCATCCAGCACTGGGATGATTTCTACCAAACATTGTCAGTGGAAAAAAATAAACAGAATTGTTTTCTTAATTCTAATCTTATTACAAAAAGTAAAAAATGATTATGTCAAACTTTTAAATCTGTTTCATCTTCCTTGGGAAAAAAGGATCTCTCTAACATCTAACATTTACTCTAAGGGTCTACTGAAACATGGCAGTTGGGTGTGAAATTTCAGGCTCTTGGATCTAAACATAACACACAATGGATGTAAAAAGGTTATATATTGTCTCAAAATATAAATGCTTTTACATCAACATTTTTTTACTATAATAGAAAAAAAGGAATTACGAACATAAACCTTTTTATTGCACTTTTTTATGGAGAGTTTTTGAATGAAGCTCCTCTGATGAATTAAACACCTCTCAACAATATTAAACTTCCTGGTAGGATGTTGCAGCAAAAGTTTATCATCGCCACCTTTGGTATTTTTATGAGAACTTGACTGCTTTGGCTTTCTTTGGTCCCCATTTCGATATCAATACAAGGAAGGATATGTTGAAGAATTAAAAACATATGTCTAAGACAAAAAATTCCATATTCCAGGAAAAAATTCAGAATTCCAGAATAAAAGTGACTAGATGGCAAGTTGTTTAAGGATCAGAAACCACTGTCTGCTTACTTAACACAGCACACAACTAAATTCTTCTATCTTATTTAAAAACAAAAAAACAAAGAAAAGGTAGAACCATTTTTGAAGAAACCAGATGAGTGAAGAAACCAGATGAGTGGACAAATGATTTAGTGCATTTTAAAATGCAACATAAGTCCTTCAAATGAAAGTTGTTAAAAATTGTTTGAAAAGAGGTATTGCCCTTTCTTTATCATAACAAAGATTAAAGACCAGAAACAATTTCTACTTTGTCTTATAGATCTACACAGAAAACAATTTTCAACTGCATCAAAAGCAGAACTATCAAAGATGACTCAGTAAACTGTTTTAGTCTTTTATTCTATGCTCAATAATATGCAGCTTTTGCTGTAGCATGCAATCTATTATCTAATAATAATTGTTAAAACAACAATATATTTTTTTTTTATTGATTTTTTTTTTGACTTTAATTGATAATGTTAAAATCATAGCAGCCCCTAAATATTATCATATTTTATAAAAAAGGATGAAATCATTTATATAAAAAGTATAAAATCATTATAGTTGCACTCACCTAAAATTATACTCACCTAAAACATCTAACAGTGATGTTAATTCATCCAAAGATGTGAGACTTTTTATTTCTGAGGTAGTTAATCTATCATTGCGATTAAGAGCCCAACATTGATGCAGCAATGATAATATAGAGACTGGATATTGTCTTGCCTGCATTAAAATAAATTGTTATGATTGGATATTGCCTAGCCCGCATTACAATATTTTAAAATATTAGGAAAAACTATTTTTATAAAGATTTTTCAAAAAGTTGAATATTTTGTCAAATTATCTAAAAAAGTTTTTGATTTACTTTCAACAAATTTAAGTAAAAAAACAATTTAATTTGTATAAAAAACAAGGAATCAAAACCCAATAGTGGTTCCTTACCCGGAATCTCTCAGATCCCTAAATTTGAGAGGGTCTACAATCTGGAGGGGTTCTGAACCCTTTATTTTCTTGAAGGGTTTCATATCAGATTTTTAGAACTCATTTTTTTGGGGTTTCAGAAATCCAGAGGTGTAATACAATTTTTGTATTACACTCCTCAAAAAGAACTCTGTATATATTATTGTAATAATTGTAAATGCTATTATGTGATTATAAAATTTAACTGAGCTAATCATGTTGTGTACGAATCAAGTATGTTTTGGAATTGTTTCTTCACTATTACAGTATCTCTTAATGTTTCAGATCATTTCAAAATTGTAGATAAGAAAAAAATAATAAAAAGAAATAACATTTCAACAAACTTTATATAATTCCTAATTTTTGTTTACGATAAATAAATTAGTGTAAATTAAATTGTTTTGAGCTAACTTATTTAAAACAATTTTGGTGAAAAAATCCCAAACATAACCCCTGATTATAATTAGGTTTTTTTCACCCAAATTAAGAGATGTTCTAGAATTCTTTTTTACACAAAGGGTTCCAGTACTCTTTTTTCAAAACCTCAGCTTAAGAGATTCTAGAAATTCTCATTTTTCCATAACCCACTTTGCAATAGTGGCATTCTCCAGAACTCCTTATTGTTGGGGTTCTAGAACCCTGATTTTACTTAGGGGTTCTAATTCCTGTAAAAAATTAATAATTCAAATTTATTCTAATTTATGTCTAAAATTTTTAAATTTTCTACTTCATGCCTAAATTACCAATACTAGTAGCAGTACCATGTTTAAAAACAAAAATTTAAACTTTAAAAAAGTCATAATCAACAAGCAATACTAATTACAAAGTTTTTTAAAATAATATTATACACAAACCAACAAAATCAAATAAAAGGTATAGTACATATGATGAAAATTACTGCTAAAATACACAAGAACTGGCATTAAAAAAAAAAAAATACCCTTACCACCAGCGATATTTTTGGACGTTTTCCCTCTAACATAAACATATCAACAAGATCTTTATTACCAGAGTTACCAAAAGGTTTTCGTAGATTTATTAACTCATACACAAAGGAACCAAACAAAAAACTCAAATCCTATAGTATATTATTTTGTGTTAGTTTATATTTATAACCATAAATAAACTAAATTCTTTTTTATAATTTTAAAAATATTTTTAATTTCTACTAAAAACTAAAAAATAGTTATATAAAAATATTTTGACTGTTTTTTTTTAAACAACTACAACAAATCAAAAATATAAATAAAACAAAATAAAAATATAAAACATTTTAATTATATATATATAGTAAATTTATAAATAAATTTTACACTGCTATTATATAAATATAGTGGCAGTATAAAAATATAAAGTAATTGTACAAAAAAACAAGAATTGAACAACAGCAAAAAAATATTTAGAACAGTTTATCAAGTTACAAAGTTACAAGTCTAAGTTCTAAACGTATAAATTTCCTAATAAGCATGTAGGTAAGCATGAGAAGAAATTAACCTAGATAATTCAAGTTGCCACAGTTAGGGAAAAACTATCTTTAAAATCAGTATTATTTAGCTTCACATATTAATATTGATTGTTTAATTTTATGTAATTCTACTCCTTACCTGATGTGATATTATTTAGTTCAAGTTTTTTCCTTTTTAACTCTTCTGTTATATCTTTAATACATAACCTCTCTTCTTTGTTTCTGTTTACAATTAAAACCTTTTCTCCTTTGCAATGAATCAGAATTTCATTTCATTTCATAGCAAATCATACCACACCAGTACAGGTCTTATTTCTTTAAGCTAAGAGCGAAGGTTTGTGACCCATGGTGACTAATGTGTGTGGTTGATCAATTGAAATTCATTCTTTAAGTACATCTCATTATTGCTTACATTTTATTATTACTTTTTATTATATGAATTTCATTACCAGATAACTTGATTGATTACCTGTATGCAATCTTTGTGTTGCAGATGCAATATTTAGTTTAAGTCAAAAAACTTTGAAATGAAATCCTCTTTTAACTCTTCTATTTTGAATATTATCTGATTCTTTTGAACTATAACTCAGATTTCATCAAAAAAAAGTTAATTGAATGAATTTAGGCTATAATAGAATACACAATGCAGAAACTCTAAATGAAACAATTTGAGACAAAATACTTTATTATTACTTCCCTCTTGTGTACTTGAAATGTTTTCAAACTAAAATTCAGGCATCTCTAATAATTTTTTTTTGGTTAACTTTTGATTTTAAATGAAATAATACATAAGTGCAATATCAACTAGGAGTTTCTCATAAGTTTAAACTTTTTGGTTTTTTTATACAAATTAATAAAAAATTATTAAAATTTGTTATAAGTTTGACTATAAACAAAATAACCTCATGCAAATTTTATATTTCAAAACAACATTAGTTTTAAATAATTAACAGGCTGTTTTGAACCTTTTTTGAATGATTAAAAAGCCAAGGCTCATAACATTTTTACACTTTTTTATATTATTGTGAGTCCTACACATGACATGACAGAGTCTTTCACATTTGTTACAAATTTAGATAAACTGAGATTTATAGGGCGCAAAAACCTCCTGTAGACATAATATTTAAGTTAAGAAATGTCAGAGTTTGTATTAAAAAATAAAGGAATAAAGGATTTTAGGTTTTTTAATTTGAATCACAGGACATAAAAAAATTGCTTTAAAAAACAGTTGGCTTAAAATAACAAAAAATTTAAGACCATACTTAAGATGTCACCTTTAATAAAAATGTTATTAATGAGGACTTCTTTAACATGCCCAAAATATTGCAAATTTTTTCCTTCTTTAAATGCCTTTATTGAATTTTTTTTTAGAAGTGTATTCTTTAATAAGTTCTATAGATACATTAAGAAGATTTTTACCTAGTCAGTTAGACTTTAAATCTTTGGGAAATGGAACACATAGAATATCATCAACAGCTAGCTTAGTCAACTGTTATTGATTTCATTAGTATGGTCATTAATACAATAGTAGCTAACAATGATAGGTTTAAAGCTGTTGCCATAACCAAGTGCCACACCTCTTGCTGATAAATATTTTTAGGTCTTCTATCCACTTTGAGACAAGTAAAAACCATATTCAACAAAAAGAAAAAAAACTAAAGTTTAGCAAGTTGTAAAAGTTCAACCATCCATGATAAAAAATAAAAATGTCAGAGTACTTAAAACTTTAAATTTGACAAAATTTGTCATGTTTTTGAAGATCAATAAAAGCATTGTCACTAAAATATCATCAACTCTTAACCAATAATACTAATTACCGTTACAAAATCAACTAATTATCTTAAGTCATTTTACTTATTAATTGCCTCTGCAATTACTTGCAAATTGTTTTCTGCTAACGTTTATTTAAGCTGTATTAGTATTTACATAAATAACACTTTTTCTTTTTAACAGTAGTTGCATAAATTTTAAGTGTCCCAAGAAGAACTAACTGTCTTATTACAGAGTGCTGTTTTAGAGCATTGAACTAGAAACTTTCTTACCGGTAAAAAAGAATAATTTACAAATTTAATTTTTATTTTCTACACTACATATTCTGACTGTGAAAAAAATCAGCAACTGATAAGTACTGAAATAGATTTAGATTCAAAGAAAAAAAAGGTGGATGACTTAACCAATATTTGCCTTCAACTCAGCCTGATTGATATATATATATATAAATTAGTAGAAAATCACTTAGCAAAATTTTTTTTTCATTTTACACTGTGTTTCATCAACAAAGACTCATTAGAAATATTCATTTCTGATAAGTTTTTGTTGATGAAACAGTGTAAAATAAAAACAAATTTTTGTTAAATGATTTTCTACTAATTTATAATTGCTCTGTTCTTTTAAGAACATTGAGCACTCTATTTTGTAGAATACAATTTTAAAATTGTTTATATATATATATATATATATATATATATATATATATATATATATATATATATATATATATATATATATATATATATATATATATTAGTCCATCCCAGTTTTACTCTCATGAACAAATTTTAATACGCGGAGCGTCATAAAATATTCCCAAGTTATTTTTTATTTTAGATGACTGCTTATGCTTGCGCCACTCTTTTTAAGTTTAAAACTTTTACATTTTTTAAGTTTTTACAAGCATTTTTAAACAATCGGCACGAATAGAAATTTACAAACCATTAACTATATAATAACGTCATTACAAGTAATGGAAGGTCTTTTATCTATATTGATTGTGCGTATTTTTATTACTATTATTTTTGTTAACTGGTGGTATTTTAAAAACGCACATATTTGTTATGAAACTAAAAAAAGTGGTTTTTAAACACAATAGCATTGAGGCCCAATACACAGCAATTAGAAATTTGTTAGATGCTTTTGATCTCATACAGTTCACCCACTTCAAGCCCTGACTATTTAAAAGGAGATTGTACAAGATTAGCTAAGTTTCCTGGCGACCATTTTTCTTGTTAACCTCCTGCCATCATGTCAGAGAGCTTCATATAGCTGTAAATAAAACTGTTAAGCTGGAGAATAAAATATTTTTATCATAAAACCATAAAAGGTTAAAAAATAGTAAGATGAAGATAAAACTGCTTCACTTTAAAATATATTTTTGCAAAAACAAATCGAATAAGTTTCTAATTTTAAAATTATTTACATTTAGACTTTTGAGAAGTGCAGAGATTATTATGAACTTGCGGAAAAAAATCAGATCATTAGGTGCAAATTAACAAATATGGAGCTGTTTCGCACACTTTGAATTTCATGAAATTCAAGTTTCATTTCTCTTAAATCAGGCAGGTTTTTATTCTGAGTAATAGAATACTCAAAGAGATCAATAGAATGGCTGACTAAATTTCTCTCTCCATGGAATCGTGGTTTTTGACCTGCGACTTTTCTGATTCTGCAATTCTTAAAGTAACAAGTTTAAAAACAATGGTTCGCAAAATGGTTTAAAATCAGATGTAAAATACAAACAAAATAACTCTAAACCAATTGTTTTTCTAACGACAGACTTTTCTTAAAATCAGTAGAAATAAAATAATAATTAATTCAATAGAAATTTTATCTTGTTAAAAATAAATGTAATAAGTATTTAGCAATGTCATTTTAAACCTTATTTTATCTACATTGCATTATTTTTAATTTACACTTTTAAGATTAACAAGACTATTTGGCAGATGTATATTGAGCCTGCTGCAGAGGTGATATTCAAATCATGGTAAAACCTTAGAGGTGTTTGGTACTGGCGTTAGCATCTTCTGACCGAGATCACAATATAAAAATGGTAAAAAGTTCAGTATTCAAAAATAAAGGGAGGTCAGAAAAGGTGTAAAAACGGATAGAACCAAAGCTGAAATCCTTCTAAAAGCAGTTTTTGTTAATAAAGACCAGCCACTAGGTCTTGAATTGTATATTTCATCAGACTACTAGTTATTTTTTGATATTCTAAGTCATAGTTTAAAAAAATCCCTACCGACGAGACTCCCTAAGACTTTTTGGGTACAATGAATTCCAAAATTTTAAAATCTTTCAAAGTTTCTAACAGCTCATCAGAACTCACAGCAAAATTATAAATCTATTAAGCATAGTCTAAAAAACTTATTTCTCAAAACAAGAAATATATTTCTTATTTTTAAAAATAAATTGCGGTGTAGGATATTTATTTCTTAAAACAAGAAACGTAATTCTTGTTTTAAGAAATTGTTTTGTAACAAAAAATTCAATTTTGCTGTGCTTACAGTAAAATTTATTCAAGATAATGTAGAGCGTGTGATGAGCTTAGAGAAGCTTCTGAAGCTACTTCAAATAAAGAGTTCTTGTAAAAAAAACATTAAAAAAAGAAGAAGAGTGGATTCAAGGAGGTAGCGACTGCTTTCTCGCTTTCTCGTTATTGAATGGTTCTTATAAATTGAACTTTGATCCAAGATCAAACTGCAAACTCTGAACCTTAAAAGTGCATTTAAAAATTATTTTTTTACATATTTTCTTGATATATTTGTTTTAAGTTGAAAATTTATATGCATATAAATATTTATTGCTCATTTGCAGCGTTTAAACGCTGAAATTTGCTTCAGAAACAAGAGATCTGTGGCAGTGACAGATCTAGCATTTTTTGGTATTTGAGATAACATGGAGCAAAATCCAAACATTTGTATGTTTATACTTAGGTCAAAAAATGATGCTTTTTAAAGTTACAATGATTGGAGGCTGGGAACAAAAAAAGCCCTAAAATTTTATCCTCCTGCCCAAAACGAAAGCAATAAGTTAATGAAATAATTTTTTTGCTATTCTTAACTAAAATTATATTTATCGATAAATTTTAAGTATTGTTTTACAAGCTCTAAGCGTTCAAAAATTATGACTATATAAAATTTGTAGCTCCCTATATATATATATATATATATATATATATATATATATATATATATATATATATATATATATATATATATATATATATATATATATATATATATATATATATATATATATATATATATACTTTTCTACATTACATAATCTGGCCGTTAAAAATAATCAGCAACTGATAAGTAAAATTTTTTTAGAGATAATAAAAAAATTACTTTTGCATTTTCATTACCATCTTGTACCCTGAAAAGTGAAACCTTGTTAAAACCTGTGTTTTTGTTCAACGTTTGTTTACTGTTTCCATAACTTGCTAATAGTATTCGAACATTTGAATACAGACTGCATTCTGGTTCAGGAAACTCATGAACTAATATGTTATCACTTTTTAAATCACAGCATGAGATACTTTGAGATTGAAGATAATTTAGAGCATCACTGACCTAAATTACAATAATTACTTAACCAAATATTTAAAAGAAAAACAAACCTAAAATTTATTTGACAAAATAATCAAATAAATAGAGTTTGAAATAATAAAACTATTGTTATATAAAAACCTGACGAAGTGTTTCCTTAACTGCATACACTGGTAATTCAATTTTCCTTTCTCTATACCTATCTAAATAATTATTTAGTGAACCTCTTGGAACAAGTTCAAAAAACATAGCCAATGGTTTCAAAGATAATCCTTTGAATTTAACTATATGCTGATGCTCTATTGATAAGACAACATCAAGTTCCTCACGAAAATTTCTACAAAAAATTCTTTATGACTTTAAAAATATATTTATGTGTATACTTGTAAATATATAAATAAAAATATATATATATTTATATATACTTGAAAATACAAATATATGTATATATGTATAAATTTATATGTATATGTATATATATATATATATATATATATATATATATATATATATATATATATATATATATATATATATATATATATTTCAAAAAATCATCAGTAGTGCTTTTTCGTTACCAAAATAATATTTTTTTGTTTTTAAACAGAAATTGATAATTATTCATTATTGTTTAAAAACTTTGGCATATAAAATTCGCCGAATGGTCACACACGAGCAGTGAACGCCTAAGGGAAGAAATGAAGTACATTAGAATAAAGGAGAATTATTTATTAGACAAAGCATATTTTGACAGTTGTCAAGACAAAAATAAAGATTAACAGAGGAATATTTAAAAATAAATAAGACAAGCTATACAACCAAAACAGTACTCAACCATAATAACAATAAATAAAAAAAATTAAAAAAAATAAAATAAAATAAAATAAAAGCAAATAATAATAATAAAAAAAAATAATAATAAAATATATATATATATATATATATATATATATATATATATATATATATATATATATATATATATATATATATATATATATATAAATAAAAAAAATATAACAAAAAAAATAAAAAATAAATAAATTGTTTTATAAATACCAATATAAACTAAAATATACAAGAAATACATAACCAGTCAAAAATTTGTAAAACGAAAAACCATTCAACAAATTAAAAATATGCTAACAACAATGAAAGGACTAATAATGGAAAAAAAAAACATTAATGCTAATGTGCAAACATAATTAGTGTAGTGATTAAGTAATAAACATCTCCTCAGAGTCGCGTCTATTATTACTTGCGTTTCGATGAGGATCAGCATTTATAACTAGTTTATCCCGTCAGACAAACGTCATTGCCACTTATGCTTTACCCCGCGACTTATGCCTATTCCATACTGCAGTAAAAAAGGACTCACTACAAATAGCCAAAACCCAACCAACCCCAAATTTGTAAAGCACCAATATTTTTTTTGATGATATGATATAAAAAGTATAGATTTACTGAACAAACAAAAATAAAAATAACTAAATAAAACACTTACCGTACCACCAAAAGAAAACATGAAAACAAAATAAATTAAAATTCTAATAGAAACATAAAAATATTAATCAACTTATTTTAAGAAATAAAACCATATAGGTATTATTAGCATAAACAAGCCCAAGATAATCAAAAAGCAGTATACCTCATTAAAAATTTTTTTTAATAAACAAAACAATACCCTCAAATAAACTCTAACGCTGTCATAGATACCTCATTCGAAATATGATAACCAATCAAAAGTGTAGGAAAATGAGTAACCCGCGAAACCCAAAATCATAACAATAATAGAATAATATATGATAGCGAAAAAGAACGTTGCACAAAAACCTTAAAAATGTAAGCGACATATATGTAAACATTAAATGAAGGATATAAAAATATTCTCTGAATAATAATAAAGATAAAAATTGTGCATGTGAAAATTAAAACAAAGCTGAGTAATGAATGCAAGATAATATGACATGAAAGTTTCTGTAAACAGTAATAATATGAAAATCAGGAGATAAGTAAAATATTAATAAATATAGCAATAAGACTAAATAAATATTGTAATAAAACCAGATAATTTTAAGCCAAATGAGTGGTTAAAAAATTAGTTGTGGGTATTATAACAATGATATAAATCGTGATATAAAAACGATGTAGAAAATGGGAAAAAAAAAAAAAATTTTAAAAAGTGAAGTTTTCTCTACGGTCCGAACTAAAAGAAACTTTGAAACCATATCTAAATCGAAATTTCCGAAAAATGAAGTTTTCTCTACGGTCCGAACTAAAAGTAACTTTGAGACCATATCTAAATCGAAATTTCCGAAAAATAAAGTTTTCTCTACGGTCCGAATTAAATGTAACTTTGAGACCATAACAAAATAACAAGGAAAAACATACTTCATAAAAACAAGTCGAAAGCCGCTATTTTATAAGAATCGCTCTTATACTTATATGTAAATTCAGATGAATCCTTTAATGAAAAATTCAATCACACATGATAAACACATATAGATAACATACAAATCTGTATCTACATTTCAACAACATATCTATTAAAAGAAAATATTATCTAAATAAGGATGAGTTCAAACAAAGATAGTTTATCTATGAAAGAACAAAAAGCATGCAAAAGATGTAAACAGGCTGTATGCCTGAACGCCTAAGGGAAGAAATAAAGTACATTAGAATAAAGGAGAATTATTTATTAGACAAAGCATATTTTGACAGTTTTCAAGACAAAAATAAAGATTAACAGAGGAATATTTAAAAATAAATAAGACAAGCTATACAACCAAAACAGTACTCAACTATAATAACAATAAATAAAAAAAATAAAAAAAAAAATAAAAAAATAAAAAAAAATAAAAGCAAATAATAATAATAATAAAAAAAAAAAAAAAAAATATATATATATATATATATATATATATATATATATATATATATATATATATATATATATATATATATATATATAAAATATAACAAAAAAAAATAAAATAAAATAAATTGTTTTATAAATACCAATATGAACTAAAATATACAAGAAATACATAACCAGTCAAAAATTTGTAAAACAAAAAACCATTAAACAAATTAAAAATATGCTAACAACAATGAAAGGACTAATAATGGAAAAAAAAAACATTAATGCTAATGTGTAAACATAATTAGTGTAGTGATTAAGTAATAAACATCTCCTCAGAGTCGCGTCTATGCTGATGCTCTATTGATAAGACAACATCAAGTTCCTCACGAAAATTTCTACAAAAAATTCTTTATGACTTTAAAAATATATTTATGTGTATACTTGTAAATATATAAATAAAAATATATATATATATTTATATATACTTGAAAATACAAATATATGTATATATGCATAAATGTATATGTATATGTATATATATATATATATATATATATATATATATATATATATATATTTCAAAAAATCATCAGTAGTGCTTTTTCGTTATCAAAATAATATTTTTTTGTTTTTAAACAGAAACATTATTTAATCTTTATAACTACTATATTCAATTTTTTATTTGTTTTTAAACAGGAAAGATGTCAATTAAAAGTGTCATGTTCTTGTTTGTGGAGATGTTTTTGATAAGAAACTAAATTCTTTTCATTTTCGAGTTCCAAAAAAACAAAGTTGAAAAAAGGTTTTATAACTGTATTATGTGCACATTGGCAATTAT